TCAAAATCAGGATCAGAATCAGGATCAAAATCAGAATCAGGATCAGAATCAAAATCAGAATCAGGATCAAAATCAGAATCAGGATCAAAATCAGGATAAGAGTCAGGATCAGGATCAAAATCAGAGTCAGGATCAGAATCAGGATCAAAATCAGAATCAGGATCAGAATCAGGATCAAAATCAGAATCAGGATCAGAATCAAAATCAGGATAAGAGTCAGGATCAGGATCAAAATCAGGATCAAAATCAGAATCAGGATCAAAATCAGAATCAGAATCAGGATCAGAATCAAAATCAGAATCAGGATCAGAATCAAAATCAGAATCAGGATCAAAATCAGAATCAGGATCAGAATCAGGATCAGAATCAGGATAATCAAAAATAAGATTTTGTGTTTATCAGTATAATTTCAACATGATTGAAAAACCACCTCATCATTGCGCAAAAACTTATCAAAAAACTTTTTTCTCAAAATTGGCGTGTTTTTATTAGGTGAATTTATTTTTGTAATTCCAGTTTGCTCATTTATAAGGTCAATGGAAACGCAGCCATCGACTCCTTTCCTGTGAAATGTATCTGGAAAGTATCGCCAAACATTTTGCTGATTCATTTTACTGTGAATATTTGAATATTCATCATTTTAAGACTAAAAAAACCATTTCTGGTCTCAGAGTTCTGAATGTTTGTCTCTCCGAGTCGTGAAATATGACTTTAACGGCTCATAAACTTAAACTTGTGTTTCGGTGAAGGAAGTCTGCTTATCGGCTCGGGTTCAGTTTAACACCTAAATAAATCAAAAGTGAAAGGATTCCAGGGGAAATCCTGCAGCGGAGTCTATCAGCTTTGCCCTCACTTCCTGTTGACTCCTGTGTTTCCTGTAGACCCTCCGTCTCTGAACCCAGAGTTTATTGTGTGTCTGAACCGAAGCGTGGAAACGGCTCCACCCTCTGCATCAAAAACAGATAAATAAGTCAGTCAGTCTGACACACTGACCGACGGGCTGCGGTTTTCCTTGGGTTGTTGAATGATCCCAAACACACATTTTAAAACGTTTTATTATTTAGCTATCAAACTGTGTTATTTTTAACATTTTTCTGAGATTCAACTAAAGAAATTAGAGCAAATATCGTCTTTGTGACCCCAAATTGTCGACCCAACACTTGGGTTTTAGAGCATTTTCTTCCTGGATGAATAAGAGCTCAGTTACACTGCAAAATCACAAAATCTTACCAAGTAATTTTAAGTCTAGTTTCACCAGATTTACAAAATCAAACAAACTAATTTTCAGTAATATCTTCAAAAAGAAAAGCAGCACAAATGGAAATTTTTGCTGCACAAACGAAGTATCGTTGATTAATACCGATTTTGTTTAATTTGGTAAATGTGTTTGGAGGTTGGTTGACCTTTAATAACCTCTGGAAACATTTGTATTAATATGTTTAAAATGTTGCGGCACAAACATTTGACACCAACTTTGTTTGATTTGGGTAAGGTGGGAGTGCAGGGTGACCTTTTGACCTTTAAACTTGAATTAATTAATTTTTTAAAAATGTATGCCAAATTTAGCACTTGTGCTAAATTTGTGCAGCAAAACTTTTTGTGTCGCTATTAATAAAAAAGCTTTCAGAGGTCATCAGAGGTCAACCAGCCCAAACCCCACATTTATGAAATCAAACAAAACAAATCTCTATTGAATTTCATTTATAACATGTCTAAAAGCAGGTACTTTTTAATCAATATTAAGTAATTATCGACTTAAACAAGCTCCCATATCTTGGTGAAAAGTTTCTTCTAAATTAGTTTTGCCTTATTTGAAATGTAATAAGATGTTTGCACTAGAACTAGACCTAAAACACTTGTATTTTTACAGTGTAGGTGGCTAACAAACAGGTCATTCAGAACAGAAACTGTCTGAAACGTGGTGGTGTTCTGGTTGTTTAGATCTCCTCTGAGCTGCCTGTGTCTCCTGCATCCTTCAGGTCTCCCAGAAGACTTCAGCAACAAGGACTACAGGCCGTCTGCAGGCCCGTTCTGTTTCATCCAGCAGCTGTGTGAGCTGCACGACGGCCTGGTGCTGGAGGCCAAGGGAGTCAAAGAGCATTTCTGGAAACCGTTCATCCGGAAGCTCTTCCACAAGCGGGTCGGTCCCAGCTCTGCTTTACCTGTGGAAAGATTTAATGAGACTTTGTTTGCTCTGTGAGCTTCGTTTGGGAATCACTGAGCATGAAAAAAGTCCTGAAAGGAAAAAACTAAACTGACATCCATATGTTGTATCAATCAGGTGCTTGAAATCCTTGAAAAAGTGCTTGGTTTTTTATAAAGTATTAAAGTGCAACCTAATGTTTAATTAAAAGCCTAAATTTGGAAATGTTAATTGCAGTTGAAACTAGATATTTAAAGATAATAAAAAGACAGAGATGTATGTTGTTTTTCTCACTGTCTGAAGTTAAATCAGACCAAATTTTCTTGTTCCTTGTGTTTTTATCTGACTGAAACTCAGTTTTTTTTCGTTTTCTCTGCAGATTCTCAGAGGAAAGGAAGACAGTCTGACTGGTTTTCTGGATCCTATGAACTTTGGAGACAGTCTGTGAGTTTCCTCATGCAGAAGTCACAGTCCGCACTAAATAGCTTTATTTATTTCAAACAGACAATAAAAAGTAAAAACTGAAAAAACACAAGAAGACAAATAGTCATGCCAGTTGACATGCAATTTTTTCCAGTGCCGTTAACTGATTAAAAATGTAATCAGATAAATCACTCCTTTTCTTCCACTGCAACAACTAAAATGGAAACAATTATTTCTTTTTTCTTTTTTTTTTTTGCAGCAGAATGCAGGAAATCTAGTCTCCCAGTATCCAACAGTAACTAACTGAACCTTACTCCACTACACTGGTATACAAACAGTAGCCAAGTTATTCAAGGGACAGCTGGCAGTTAAAATATTAAATTTTTTTTTGTTCATGTGTGCGTCGCCCCCTTCTGATGTCGCCCTGGGGAACTGCCCATATGAAAAATTTTCAAAAAAATGTTTTTTGTCTAAAGCCAAACATGTCTGAAGATTCCCAGTCTTCCAGGTTTTTATATTCAGGAAGGTTTAAAGGAAGTAATTTTGTTTTAGTTTAGAAACTCTCTAGTCATTTCCTGTGGATCTGACTGAGGCGACAGTCGCTTGTCCTCATCCAGCCGAGCCGCCGCCTGTAAAATGTTGAGCTAAAGCATGTTGATGTGCCCACGCGACGCAACACAGGAAAGTTGAAAATGTTTAAACTTTTGTAGCTTTTGTTGCTCCCGCCGCTGCAGGTAATCCCCCCACATTTTAGGTCAAAATATGTCGGTCAATTTATCTACATTATGTAATATTAACAAGTCAACATTGAAAGCGCTAAATTTTACAGAATTTGTTCGAAAAGGAGATGATAGAAGATAAAAATGTTCCTCCTGCTGCCTCCTCAGCCTGTCGCTCAGCCGGCTCTATGAGGAACACGTTCTGGCTACCGGCAGTCTGGATGAGAGGATCTTCACTGGAGAGGGGGCGAATGAGAACATCGGGACGCCCGGGCCTTGCCTCTGTGACGGGATGGAGAGCCAGGACAGCGCCACCTACAGGCTGAGCACTAACCTGACTGTAAGACTCCCTCCTGCCCATCCTGTCTCCTCCGCTCCTCTCTTGTAATTGAACGTCTCCGCTCGCTCCAGGCCTCGGCTCTGAAGGTCTCCACTCCGCTGACGGGGAGGAAGTACGTCCAGGAGGTCCGACTGTCGTCTCCACTGTCGTACGCCATGAAGAGCGTGGGCCGTCTTCACACGCTGCTGTCAGGGACCAAACACGGGCCGAGCGCCAAGCTGACCGAGACTCTGAGGTAACGCACCCAACGCTTCCTGTGTAGCGACAGCAGGAGTCGCTGCAAGGCTGCTAACCGCTTTTAGTAAATCAAACCTTAGCAGGGAGAATTTTAACTCGATGTTGTTTTCAGCTTCAACTTATTGAGGTTTGTTGATGTTCAGCTTTCTGTGGATCCCACTGGCTAAGAAGAAAACATTTTAAATGACAGGAATAAAGTCATAAATTTACAAGAATAAATTTGAGATTATCCTAGAATAAAGTCATAAAATACGAGAATAAAGTAGTAATAATATGAGAAAAAGTTCGTAAGAGATTAATCGAGAATAATCGTAAAATTGTACCACAATAAAGTGATAATGAGAATAAAGTTGTAAAAGTACGAGAAAAAAGTAATATACGAGAAAATCTTCATAACATAATAAAGTTGTAATAATATGAGAATAGTCAATATTAAGATAATAAAGTCATAGTAATAAGATAAAAAAGTTGTAATAAAACAAGAATAAAGATGTGAGAAAATGTGTACGACTGTAAAGTTGTAGTAAGATGAGAAAAAGTAGTAACTACATAAGAATTATAATAAGTGAATAGTCATAATATTAGGAGAATAAAGTTGTAATAATACTATAAAAGACTCGTACCACAAAGTTCTGATAATACGACAATAAAATAATGATACGAGACGTCATAATAATACCAGAATAAGTCGTAATAACAAGGGAAATTAGTCACTATAATAAATAGAATAAAGTAATAATATCACCATAATAAAGTTGTAATGTTAGGAGAATTAAGTGATAATTTCATGAGACCTCCTATATAAAAAAGATAAAACAAAAATTAAAATGAGGAAGTTATACTTTGTTGTTGGTTTGACAAATAAGAAAATATTTTATCATTAACCCGTCAGCATCAAATTAGCTTTATTACCAGTAGCAGGACTTTGAAACGATTGTTTAAACAACCTGTTTAAACCCAGCTGGTTGCATCAGATCTTAAAAACTCTATCAAAGCTTTTATCTAAATAAAACCAAAAATTTTCTCATAATTTTATTACTTTCTTTGCGGTATTATTCTGATAATATTATAACTTTATGTTCAGAGTTTAAAAAACAAAAATCTTAGCCCGACCCTGATACTGTCAAAGGTTTGAATCTCGATGTTTTTCACCCTGTGCACTTTGACCCCCAGAGGCTGCGCCAGAGACCCCAGTGATGTCATCAGCCAGCGCCTGAAGGAGATGTTTGGCGTTTACTCTCAGCATTATGAAGACAGCGGCGCTGAAACCAAAGTGATGGAGAAAGGTGGAAACATGGTTCCTCACCAGTCAACGCCTCGCTCACTCGTTCTGCCTGTTTGTGTTAATAAAGTTTCTCCTGACAGAGTTGGCAGTGAAGTACTTCCACCTGGCGGAGGCGCTCTACTACAGGATCCTGGAGTCCATCATAGAGCGAGAGAAGATGATCCTGGGAGACGCTGACCTGTCTGTGAGTGCAGCGCCAACCGGATCGTTGCTCCAAGAATCCAGAGAAATGCATTAATAGATCCTTTAAGATAACATGTCTGCTTACATATTGTTTTATGAATTAAATCAAAGCAGTTTTTATCTGCATACTGCCAAATTACATCAGTTCGTCCTCCTAGTTTTTCACAATTTTGTGTTTGGAGAAATGCACCCAAAAGTAACAAATTACTGCACTTTTTCGTGCCAGTTTTATTGCACATTTTCAGCAAAAGTGGTCAAACTTATGGGTTTAAGTGATGCTAACTCCTATGTAACCATGCAAAGAACCTTGAAACCTGACCAGGGCTTATTTTAACTGGATAGTAAAATGACAGGTGAATAAACTTAATTAGTATTGTGCCGATTTCTTGATCAACCCCTGATCAACTTTCACAGACTTTCCTATTGATTTTTAGGGTTTTCTGGACATTTATTTTACCCCTCATTTTCCATGTAGTTGCATCTGATCATTGGAAGCCAGACGTAAATAAATTATGAATATTCAGTTGTTTCTTCTTGTTTAATTCCAGTTTTAAGAGGAAACAGCCTTAATGACTGGAGTTAACTGCCTGTATTTTGTGTGTTGCAGTGTATTCTGGAGCAGGACATCTTCCACCGCTCTCTGCTGGCCTGCTGCCTGGAGATCGTCACTTTCTCCTACAGGCCTCCAGGAGATTTCCCCAACGTGATCAACATCTTCCAGCTCCCTGCTTATCATTTCTACAAGGTACCAACGTGTAAAACAGATGAAGAACAACTGGTTAAAAAAGTTCGGACAAATGCTAAAAACTAATAGTTTAGCAATATGAGCATAATAAGATTGTTAGATTTAGATTATGTTATATAAGGTAACCGATGCTAAACCTAGCTCATTTAAAAATAACATACCAATTATCTGAATCTGGCTAAAATCTGACTGTAGCTTATATTAATATAACTTAGATAAACCTGAACTTGTTTTTTCAACCTACTAAAAAGGAGCTGAGTTATGAGTTTGGTTAAGCTTAATCAAAAACAAACCAACATGCTCAAGTGCAGCTATAAATATAATACTTACATTTCTCTAATTAAACCTATCTGTGTGCATGTGCAGGTGATTGAGGTGCTGGTGCGCTCAGAGCAGGGTCTGTTTCGGGAGGTGGTGAAGCACCTGAACCAGGTGGAAGAGCAGGTTTTGGAGAGTCTGGCTTGGACCAGCGACTCCCCGCTGTGGCAGAGCCTCCGTTCAGCCAAAGTGCCTTCGTGTCAGGAGGTCAGTAGGCAGCAGAACAGAAACGTATAAAAACCACACAGACACAATTCTTCCAAATTAACCATTAATTAATATTTCAGGTGATGCCTCCTCAGTATCTGGAGCAAAGCGAGGAAGCCAACAGCGGGAGCATTCCCCTCACACCCGTCAAGTCTGGACCTGATCTTAGAACCAACAGCATCGTCAAAGGTGACACTTTTACTCAGGGTTCTGAAAACTGAGGCTCATTGGACCCTCCACTTAATACCTTTGGCAAAAAATAATAAAGAACTAACTAATATGGGCAGAATTTAGCAGTACTACTCAAGTAAAGGCAAAAAGTATCCATCCATGTAAGAGCCAAATGTGAAAAACATCCTTTATAAAAAGGCACATCCTGCAGCTTTCAGCACAGGTCGGTGTCATCGCCATGTTGAAAGTCCAGCTGCGTCCGAGCAAAATATTNGGTANAAAGTCTATTTAAGTNCTGAGTAACTGATCAAATTATCAATCATTTAATATTTAAGAATTACATTATCAGACGGACCAAAATATAAAGGCAAGTGGACATTTTGGTATTTATATTTATTTGGTTTGTCACAATAATCAATAAATCAATTAACTGCATGATAAATTAAAACAAACAATAATATCCATTTATTTATCATTTTTTTCTACCAAAAACTGGATGACAAAAGTCTTTGGTCTCAACTAGCCCTTTTTTTTAACAACAATTTTGTTTACAGATTTTTCAAAATTCATTGTATTTGTGGTTTTTGTTGTTTTGTTTAATTATTTTGGATATTTAAAATGTCTTCCATTTCCAGTCTTAAATGTTAATAAAAATTTAAAGTTTACTGATCTTTGAGAATGTGCGCTTGCATTATTATTTTGCCATTACTGTTATATTACTTAAAAATTGTCTCAAAACTATAATATCATTGTTTATCGCAATAATTTCTGGGACAATTTATTATCCAGAAAAATTTGTTATTGTGACAATAAGTAACAAAAAATAAAAACAGGTGAAAGAGAAAATTTCTAAATCAGTTTCTTTCAGTATAAAATGTATCAAACTAACAAAACTGCAGGTAAGTGTCTGAATTTATTTGTTCTTCATTCAGTTTGTAGAGAATTCAGAAATTTTACTCAAATAAGAATAGAGATACTTCATAATAAAATTATTGCAGTAAAAGTAAAAAGTACAGCGCAGTAAAAATACTCCTAAAAGTAAATGTTTAAAAAAAAAAGTTACTCATGTAAATGTAATTGAGTAAATGTAACTAGTTACTACTCATCTCTGCTACAGGTGTGTCTCCGTCCCCCACCAGCCTGCAGGACAGGTACAACTCCCCCCCCACTGGTGGGTTTCGTCGGCGTCTGTTTGTTGAGCCGGTGGAAGGCGAGCCCAGCGCCACCTCCACCGGCTCCAGCGCTCTGACCAGCCCGCCGCAGACCCCCATCCCAAAGACGGGTCCGTCCAGCATCGTCACCGCCATCCCAGCTGGACAGACTGTGTTCACCGTCACCACCAACAACGGCCAGACCATGACCATTCCTTTACAGGGTGAGAGACTCGGAGCGGGATTTTACCCAAGACAGGGGGGGATCTGGACTCTGGCCTGAACCTTCAGAGCCACATAAAGATGGTTACAAAGTCGGCCTTCTATCACCTGAAGAGCAGTTCTCAGATTAAAGGATTAATGTCTCAGCAAGATCTAGAGAAACTCATCCATGTGTTTATCTTTAGTCGCATTGATTACTGCAACAGCGTCTTCACAGGTCTGACTAAAACATTAGTCAGATGCAGATGCTGCTGCTGGAGTTCTTACTAAAACCAGGAAGTTTGAGCACATCACCCGGTTCTACAGTCCTGCCACTGGCTCCCTGTAGCTCAGAGAATAGACTTTAAAATACTGTTGTTAGTTTATAAATCACTGAACGTATCAGCACCACAACACATTAAAGATCTGCTGTTGTCATAGCAACCTTCCAGACCCCTCAGGTCTTCTGAAAAATTTAGCGACGGCACTTGACTAAATACAATGTTTAAATTACTGACAGTGTTCTGTGACTTTGTAATTTTGTGTTTTTATGATGTAAAGCACTTTGAACTGCTGAAATGTGTTATACAAAATAAACTTGCTTGATTGATTGACCTTTGAACTCTTTGCAGGTATAGCCAATGAGAGCGGGAGCATCACTTTGATCCCTGTGCAGATGGGTGGAGCCACGCTGCAGCCACTCTCAGCTCAGACTCTGACCGGCACCCTCACCATTCAGTCACCCGTCACCAAACCGGCCGCTAAAGCAGCTAGCAGCTCGCTGAGGAAAGGCTCTCTGTCTCTGTTCTTCAGGAAGGTAGCGCTCTTCTTTCTGCACACGCTCACTGATGACTCTCTGGTTTCTACTGCAAATGTCTTAGTACACTTCAAATAAGACAGAACTAGCATAAGTAACTTTTCAGCTAACTATAGGAGTTTTTTTAAATCAAGACATTTTTCCTATGTTATAAATGAAATATTCTGCCAGTGGAACTAATCCTTTTTCATCAATATTAAGAAATGATTGACTTAAAACAAACTCATATATCTTTTAGAAAAGTTACTTGTAAGTTGGTTTTATTATTTAATGTGTATAAAGACGTGGGGGCCGCCAGGTGGCGCTGTGGGGACTCAGAAAGTTGGAGGGAAATAAAAATAAATCAAAAGAGGGAATTATGCTGAAAAATTGTATTATCTGGTAATAACATCATAATGTATTGCCAGATAAAATTAAGAGAACTCATGACCATCTAAAATCAGAAGGTATGAGGCAACATTTATGCTAAATGAAAGAAAAAACATTCTAAAAGTTGATGTTTCATATTTTGTAGCGTTTTATGGGGATAATGAAAGGGGGTCACTGGTCAGAGGTTAATGCTCTTTGGGGGGCCATCGCATGGAAGAGTTTAGGAACCCCTGAAATAAAATATCTGCAATAAAAACCAAGACTCCTTGGTAAGACTTTGTGTTTTTGCAGTGCTGACTGAGTGACCTGTCCTCTCTCAGGTGTATCACATGGCCAGCGTCCGTCTCAGGGACCTCTGTGCCAAACTGGACATCTCATCGGAGCTGAGGAGGAGGATCTGGACGTGTTTCGAATATTCTGTGGTTCACTGCGCTGACATGATGAAGGACCGTCACATGGACCAGCTGCTCATGTGTGCCGTTTACGTCATGGCTAAGGTGTGCGATTACAGCTCACACACCCAAATGAAAGTTTTAAAGGTGGTTCCTTGAACAGGTCAGGATAGATCCATAGGCTACACAAAACATGTTTTCCACAAAATCATCCTTAGATAATGAGATAATTTCAGTCTGGTCAGTGCAGAATGAGCTGCTTTAGGACGACTTGCTGGCCTCACCTCCCAACTCAACGTTTGCACTCACACGTGAAAATGGTTGCTAACAGATGAGCAATTATACAACTGAACATCTCTGAAAAGCAGCAGTAGAGCCTCCTGCACAACCAACAAAAATGTAGCACGTGGTTTCTGAATGGCAACAAAACACTTTCCCACACTGCAAAAACTCAAAATGGGACAAAGTATTTTTGAAATAGTGCAAATATCTGAAGATACCTGGCAACAAGGATCCAGGAGTTAATGACTGTTTTCTCATTTGGAAACTGTAATATCTAATATTATTTCTATTTTGAGATTTTTAGCTAAAAGTCCTTTACAAAAGTCTTAATCCAGCACTTAGTGGTTACCATGTGATCTTGTGGACAAACATGAAGTAACAATTTGTTTCTATCAGGTGACCAAAGAAGACCGGTCCTTCCAGAACATCATGAAGTGTTACCGCACTCAGCCTCAGGCCAGCAGCAACGTAAGATCCCACGCTTTGAGTCAGGATCCGGCTCACATCCAGACTCAGAGGACAACAAATGACTGACTTCTATGTGATTTTCCAGGTGTACAGGAGCGTGTTGATTTCAGGCAGGAAAAGGCAAGCCTCCGTTAGCGGTGATGCCAACAAACGGAGCGCAGCGGCTGACTGCAGCCAGGATCCAGGTGGGAAACAGACCAGCATGTTTTTAAAGATGCATTCACACCAGCCCTGTTCAGTGCGCTTTAATTGAACTCATAATCAAAATCCGATGTGGACTAAAAAAGTGAACTCTGGTCCGCCTAAAATCCTCGGTCTCGGTTTGGTTGAAGCGAAGTCTGGTGCAGTTTGAATGTATATGTGAACGCCAAGAGGACCGAAGGCCGCTCCAAAAGCAGGAGGTACACTACAGCGCAGGGGATTCTGGGTAAATAAAACGCTATCAGGAGAAATTATTTTTATCAAAGACAAAAGAGAAATCCAACAATCCCTAAAATCTGACGCTACCCCATTATTGTTTACACTTCATGATGAAGGAAGTAGCGCTCAGTGTCTTCTTCAGAGGTTTTCATGTGATTTCCTTCAGTGGTTCTTGGTGCAGCGCCACCACAGGTGAGGAGGGGAACAGGTTTTTCAAAAGGTTTGAATCGTTTGACACAGTGCAGTGTGAAAGAGAACCGTTACAGCTGAAAAACTAACAAATGTTGCAACTTTGATCCCCAATTAAACCGAAACATGAGAGGAAAACAGCTATAAAATTGTCCTTTTAAATTTTAATTTCGCTTAACTTAGTGTCCCTCTGACGTTCCGCCAGCAGGTGGCGACATCAGCCCAGTTCCTATCCGTTCCAGCAGCACCTTGTTGGCTCCGCAGTCCGACAGCGCTGCCTCCACTCCGACCAGCGCCTCCGACAGAAACTTCTCCTCCTCCATGGAAGAGGACGAACGAGGAGATCTTATCCTCTTCTACAACAATGTCTACATCAAACACATGAGAAGCTTTGCTCTGAGATACTCACCAAGCTCACCGTCTGCTGGGGTATGTGTTTCCTCATTGGTTTATCAGTAGTAAGCCCATGAAGAATTAGCTAAAATTTTCAGTTTTCGGAACCTTTTATTTGAAAGATGCTGAGGTTTTAATGTTAAAAAAGAAAAATTGGTGCCTAAATGTGAGTTTCAGCTCTTTTGAAGGAAAAGAGAGACTTTATCTCATTTCTCTGCTATTGACAAAGTTCAATGCACAGGTCAAAAGTCAACGTTTGATGCCACCTGCCTTGTATCTTACCTGTGCTGTTCTGTTCATCTTGTCTGCAGGTGGAGACCCCCCCTCTGTGTCCGTACCCCACCCTGAGGACGGGCTCCCCTCGTCGGATGCTGCTGTCCAGCAAACACTCCATTTACATCTCGCCTCACAGGACAGGCTCCTCCCCCTCGCCGACCCACCGGGATCGTATTTCCTACTACATCTGCACCAGCCCCCCCAACGTAAGACTCAGCAGAGGCCATCACCGTCCAGAGGTCGCGCCAGACTTTTTTATTTTCCGTCATTTTAACTGATGCACAACAGGTCTCATTGAGATAGTTTAATTAAAAAATTATTTTATCAGAGTGGCAAGAACGGGCTTCCATACTTCCAGCTACAAGCGACTTGTATGCGACCTCCTGTGAAACGACCTGAAAGTGTCCCGCATACGCAGTAGAGGGCGCAATAGCGTCACACGCAGCCAACGTGATCAGTGTTTTGCCCCCGCCATAAAAAAGAAGGAAGTAAACATGGATGCTAACGGCGGAGCTTATCTCATGATTTTGAAGTTGTTGTTCGACCGCAGCCAGCACATTAACAACTTAATCCTCATTATCGTCCGCCATGGTTGTTGTTTTTCTTCCCACTTGCTCGTAAAGGGACGCAGAACAGTGACGTTTGTCGAGTATCAATGACGTTCAGGTTGGCTGAATGCGACCTGGCTCTTCTGATTTAGGTCGGATTTAGAACCACATATCCAAAGTGGCCTGAGTCGCATCTAAAAAAAATCCGACCTGTGTTGTGTTATAAAAAATATCAGATAGAGGTCGCATTAAGGCAAAAAATTTAAAAAATTGTCCCGCGCAGCCGGTTAAATACAGTAAATATTCCGCCTTCTCCGTCTAATTTGTGTCCGTTCTTCGCAGCGCCTCCATGAAATCAACAGCATGATCCGGACCGGAGAGACTCCCAGCAGGAAGCGCAGCATCCCCCTAGAGGAGGAGGCGTCCCCGAAACGGGTTTGTCCCGACAGCCACACCACCCTGCTGCGCCGCCTGCAGGACATCGCCAACGACCGCAGCTCCTCCCACTGACGGCGTCACCATGGCAACGAGCAGACGGGATGTTCGACAGCGGATGTTCTGCTAAATGTGGGAGTTTGAAGAGATTTGACCACTTTCTTTTTTTTTTCTCTGAACTAAACTGAACTGAACGTTCCAGTTTCTGATCTGACCAGAAAATATTCTCAGCAGTTTAAGTCTTTTTTTTTTTTAAGGTTTTATTAATTATTATAATCACTGACTGCCACAGTTAGAGTTTTTCTGTAAAAGCAAACTTCTTAATGAACCTCGTCCATCTGAGCTACTTCATTTGTTTTGGTCTGGATTTTTTGTAAGTAATATTTTTAAAAACATCTTTCTTTTTAGTTTGTTTTATTTTAAATTATGTGATAAAACCATTTGAACATGTATTAATTTGTCTGAGTGAAGAACACCAGTTTATATCCATATTCCATCCATTTACCTTTTCATCATTTCTTTCTCGTTTAATTTTATCAGATATCTGTTACTAGATTATTATCTACAATAACATAATATCATTTTGTTCTATGTAACTTAAAGCTTACAGGTAGAACAAACAATTTTCTACATTAAGTATAACTTGAGATTTAGTTTCTGCTTACATCTTTTTGTCTGTGTAACTAGCTTACCATCTCCTCTGCTAAGTGTGAGAAAGATTATGTAAATATTGTGTACATAAGAGGAGAAAAGCTATTTAAACGAGGTGATGTAAATTAAGTACTTTTTTTACATCCTGCAAGTTTTTTTGAAGTGTTCAACAAACAAAACAATAGTTTAATAAAAAGTTCCAACCCACCTGGCTCCACCAGATTTCTATTTAACTGTTTAACATGTCCTGATATATCAAAGATTTCATGATATGATGTAGGCCCACAGCATCACAGATCCTCTACTGTATTTAACAGCAGCCATTATATATTTTTTTTGACATATCCGTTTTTTGTTCAAACAATTAAGCTAACAGCATAAAAATCCAACTCTGATTACTATTGGCCAAGCTGATGTTCCAGTAATAATTATTATTGGTTTAAAGTTTCTGCAGTGTTACAGAAACATCAACAGACCTGGGGAATTTAATTGTTGTTATGGTGATTTTCTTATTAGATCAGTCAGGATGCAAGTTAATACCAGGTCTGAGGAAGGCGTGAGTCTTTCCCAATTAAAGCACATTTCTAGTTAAAGTACCAGCAGAGTTGAGCAAACGTCACATGTTTAAGCTTGTGACTGTAGGATAAAACCTTTTGGGGGGGCGGAGGGGGTTCTGCCATGCCTCCCAAAAGTTAGCATGTAGATAGCATTTCATGGTCCTCGCTGCTGCAATCACTCTTAATATAGATGATATAAACAGGTTTAGACCGTTAGGTGCGCTCATGGTTCTGTGTTGCCCCGAGATGGAATTTCGGGGCAACAAAGAACCACCTGTCCCGGGTCAGTCATATTCAAGCAAGTTAAAAAATAAACAAATAAAGCCAAAGCAACATTTATTAATGTAACTTAGGCAATGAATAGAGTGCCTCAACCATATTCGCCTCCGGTGAAAAAAAAACCGATCATGCTGCAGAAAAATAGAGAAGCGGAACCAACGGAGAGTCATGTTTCCATCCGGACATGTTTTTTAGCGGAAATCCCAAAATGTGTCGCGGTTAGTAAATTAGGGGATAAATAAAAATAAAGTTATGATTTATTGAATCAGAGGCTCCGGGATGGCTACGCTGGTTCTGGATAACGGAGCTTACTGGGCGAAGATCGGTTACAGTCAGGACAAAGTCAGGTGAGCACACGGCTACAAACAAAAACATTCAATATGGGGCAGGAAATTATTATTACAGCCAGTTATTGAACAAACGTGTGTGCCCAGCGCTTTATGATGTTTTTAAACTGATCGATGTTCATTTTTATGTACAATAATCATTAATCAAATGTTAAGTAGTTGAAATGTTAAGTTCAATTACTTCTGGGAATGTCCGAATCGTAATTTTACCCTTGGGTTAATGAATGAAAATGGAAACAAATTAAAGTCAGTTTGATTCAGTTATTTAGCGAACAGCCTTGAACATCCTTTCAGAGCTGCAATGGAACAGTTCATGCGTTAGAAGGGCCTAGTCAAAGCCCAGACCTAAACTCAACTAAGAAGAGCATACTGTACTATTTGTTAGTTTGGATAAATTAAATAGAAATTACTTTTCTGTAAAGTATGACAATTGTTGTCAATTGGTGCCATGAAATTGTGGAATTGAATTAAAACTGTGAATATCTGTGGTCATGTGGTGACCCAGATCTAAAAAGATGTCAGTCATCAACATGGGTATGGTGAGAGATGACATTCTACTTCATAACCTGAACTTTACATATTGAATAAAAGTAACTCGAGAATGGAGCCCTGAGGAACCCCGCATATGATCATCAGATTTCTAAGTAATAAAAAGGAGGTTTGTTTTATGTAGCAGTTATAATCCTGACTTCTTTCCTTTCCTCTCAGCGTAATCCCAAACTGTCAGTTTCGCTCGAAGACGTCCAGATTAAAAACTTTCACAGCCAACCAGCTGGATGAGATCAAAGATCCTTCAGGTCTCTTTTACATCCTGCCCTTTCAGAAGGTGAGCATAAATCTGAAAATATCTGGTGCTACTGATAAGAAAATAACTAACAAAATGAAGGTAATATGTTCTCTGGGTCTGCAGGGTTACTTGGTTAACTGGGATGTCCAGAGGAAAGTGTGGGATCATCTGTTTGGGAAGGAGATGTTTAAGGTGCGCTTATGCTGCTTTGTTTTTACCCACGAAGAGAAAACCTCTGATTTCTGTTTTTTAGAAGCTGTAGCTAAGGGTGTTTTCTCTCTGAGCAGGTGGAGTTTCCAGACACGAGCATCATCATCACAGAGCCGTACTTCAACTTCTCCTCCATCCAGGAGTCCATGAACGAGATCCTGTTTGAGGAGTACCAGTTCCAGTCGGCTCTGCGGATCAACGGTGAGTCTCAGCTGGAGACCGGGTGCTTTAATCGATTATTGAAACGATCGTCAACTAATTTAATAATTGATTAGTCATTGACAGTGGAGGGTAGAGTACCCTAGAATTGCATTCAAGTAGGAGTAGAACTACTTTAATGTATTTTTACTCAAGTAAAAGTAAAAAGAAAGAGTGAAAAAGTATTTGTTAAAAAGCCTATCAGCTTGTTATTCTGTTTGCAAACAGAAGCAATAGAAAACTGATGGACGATTGTGATCAAAATTACATATTCTTTCTAATTTAGTTGTTTTATGGTTTGTACCTGTAACATTTGGCTATAATCTCCTTGCTGTCCTCCAGCCGGGTCGCTCGGCGCTCATCACTACTTCACCTCGAAGCCGTCGGAGCTCTGCTGCCTGGTGGTCGACTCAGGATTCTCCTTCACCCACATCGTCCCCTACTGTCGCAGTAAGAAGCTGAAGGAGGGCATCCGCAGGTCAGAGAGCAGCAACCTTTAGAGGAAATGACACGGAGAGCAGCACCAGGGGGCGCTAACAGGAGCTAGTTTCTTTGTTTCACCTTTCAGGATCAATGTGGGAGGGAAACTGCTCACAAATCACCTGAAGGAGATAATCTCATATCGGTACGGAGAGTGATTCTTACAGCAGCAACTTGTGTTGTTTAAGTGTTATGTATGGAGTGTTATGTATTGGCTTCAAAAATTTGTTAAAAAAAGAAAACTTTTGAAGCTGGAAAACAAAAGATACTGTATAAAGTTGAAAAATATATATATATATTTGAAATTGAGAAAAAAAAATCTAAACCGTTAATAAAGGATTTGAAACTGAAAAGTTATTTTTACGTACAAACACTGAAAAAAAAAGTTCAAAACTACCGTGGAATTAGTTTTCAAAAATGACAACACGCAATAACAAAGTATGGAGCGAAATTGGCACCATAAAGTTGGTTAAAATAAAAAGATATGAAATCGAAAAGAAATATTTGAAACTGACAAAAGTTAAACTGTAAAAAAAAGATTTGAAATTGGAAAAAATATTTTTAAACTATAAAGCCTGAAAAAGGTTCAAAACTACTGTGGAACTGGTTCTGAAAAATAACAGAATGGAAAAAGAATGGCACTAAATTGGTGCCAAATATATGAAACTGAAAAATTTGGAAACATAAACATTTTCAAAAGTACTTTTCAGATTCAATATTTTGTTCTTAATTTACAAATATCTGACCATATTTGTAATGCAGGAGGGACATCAGATGAGATGGAGTGGGTGGAACAATAGAATTGGTTTTGAAAAATTAATTCTATTTGAAAAATGTATGGAGTCAAATTGGTGCCACAAAGTTTCAAAACTACTTTTCAGATTCAAGAGTTTTCAGTTTCAAACTTATGGCTGTGTTTTGGTGTGGGGTGATAAAATTAGTGTGGAATCATAACAACAAAATATTCCCAGATGTTGCATTCAGGAACCATAGGAACTGGAAATGTCTTTAAAATATAATCAGCATTCTACATTTATGTGATCAGTCAAAATGAATAATAAAAAAGGGGGAAAAAAATGTTTGGATTTTTTTTTTAGTGTCAATTTTTTTTAAGTTCCAAACTATTTTTTCAGTTTCACATCATTTTTGTTCCAGTTTAAAAAAAGAAACATTTTTTGAACAAACTTTATTACTCAAATTGATCTCCATACTATTGAGCTAAAGTTAGCTCAATAGTATGGAGCTAAATTTGGGCCATGAATTAACTTTTCAGCCCCAGTTAGCTCCATAGTCATGTGTGTTCTCTTAATTTTGCAGTCAGTTACACGTGATGGATGAAACGTATGTGATCAACCAGGTGAAGGAAGATGTTTGCTACGTCTCTCAGCAGTTCTACAAGGACATGGAGATTGCACAGTGAGGCACAGCGATGTTGCTCCATATTTTACTGGAACCAAACCTGTAATGTTTCGATCCATCTCACTTTCTGTTGTGTTTTTCAGGATGAAAGGGGAAGAAAACACTGTAATGAGGGATTACGTTCTTCCAGATTTCAGCGCCATCAAAAAAGGTTTCTGTAAGGTGAGACTGATCGCAAGAAACATTCTAAGTATTTTATAAGAATTCACTTTTTCACTTGATTTATTATTTTCGTAGTCATTTGTTGTAGATTATTTGCTTTGTTGGTGAACCAGTTGTAACCAAGCTTCATTTGTCAGACAAATGGTTTCATATTTGAATTTAGAAAACTAGGGGCCAAAAAACTGGAAACAAAAAAATGACTTAAATAAATTTGATACTGAAATTTTCAAATTTAATGAAATTTGAAATTTCAGTTTCAAATGTCAAAACTAAAGAAATAAGATTTTAAATTGAAAAAAAAAGATTCTAAAATATATTTTGATTCAGTTTTTATTAAATTAAATTTTCAAAACCAATCACATAAACAGAATATCTATAATGTTTTAAAGACATTTTCAGTTCCCACGGCTCCTGAATGCAACAGCTGGAAATATTTTTCTGTCATGAAGCCCCGTCCTCATAAAAAGCAGAAAAAATATAACTGAAGAAAACTTTGTATCTGAAAAGTAGTTTTGAACTTTTTTTTCAATTTCAAACTTATTTTTCAGTTTAAAGAAAAAAAATTAAGCAAACTTTATGGCCCCAGTTTAGCTCCATACCTTTCTGTCTAGATTCAACAAACTGCCACAATTTTGTCTTTTTTGAGCTGATCTAAAAATTTAGGATTGCATTCCTCTACTTCCTGACATAAAATGTAGGAAAATATTTACATTTCTAATTTATTGTGATTGCAGAAACAAAATGTTTGGGCCTGAGTTTCCTGTAAACTAGTTGGTTTTGGTTCTTTTTGCTCTGTGGGGAGTTCTGATGTTTCTGTGAGAGCAGTTCAGGTCTGATTCCACGTTTTCTCTGCCCTGCAGCCGCGAGAGGAAATGGTCTTTAGCGGAAAGTACAAGACAGGTGAGCAGACGCTGCGGCTGGCCAATGAGCGGTTCGCGGTCCCGGAGATGCTCTTCCATCCGTCGGACATCGGCATCCAGGAGATGGGAATCCCGGAGGCCATCGCTGACTCGGTCCAGTCACTGCCAGAAGGTTTGTGGTTCAAAAAGTAAATTAAAATCCAGTTAAACTTTAACATGAACGTTTCTCTGAACCTTCTGAGTCACATAAAGACAGTTACAAAGTCAGCCTTTTATCATCTGAAGAACATTTCCGGGTTTAAAAGATTAGAGATCTAGAGCAGGGGTGTCCAAAGTGTGGCTGGGGGGGCCATTTGTGGCCCTTGGAACAATTTGATGTGGCCCCCAACTGCAGTTCATGAATCTTACAAATTTGGTCCTTTCTTTTGTTATTTTTTAGAATTTCAGTGACAAATTCAAATGTCAAATGTATTTTTATTGTTTATTAGCAATATATTAAAAAATATGGTACAAAGTATGTCAATAGAATTTTAGTAGATTTTAACCCACAAACAAAACAAATCCCTAGAGAGCAGACAAAACTAAACTGAGGTAAAATACTTTCTTCAATGGAAAGTGTGGAAAGTATTCTTCTTTTAATTTTAGTTTCATCCATCATTAGCTCTGGTTTGTAGCAGTTTCTTTTTTAAAGAAGTTGTCATTTTTGTAGTTGAGGAAATAGACCAGAAGATTTTCTAGACCAAAAAAGTGAAAAATAAAAACAAGTTAGAAAACTTTTCACCTTTTATTAAAACAAACAAAAACAACCCCACTTTATTTTATTTAAAAAATATAGCAAAATTCACTACAACATTATTTCGTGTTTTAAGTTGGAAAAACAAGATGACCACTGAATACTTTCCACTTTGGGATTCTGACCTATTTCACAAAACGTTTGGACACCACAGATCTAGAGAAGCAGCATTCAGCTTATATGCACCACAAATCTGATACAAACTTCCAGAAAACTGAAAAACAGCCGAAACACTGAGTTCCTTTAAATCTAGATTTAAATCCCACCTGGTTAGAGTTGATTTTGAAACATAATCACTGGAACGCTGACCAATATGTGTTATCTTTATTGATTATTTTAAAAATGTTGACTAGATCAGTGTTTCCCAACCCTGGTCCTCAAGGCTCACTGCCCTGCATGTTTTAGGTGTTTCCTTGCTCCAGCACAGGTGATTTCAGTTAGGAGGTGTTTGCTGAACTGCAATCAGCTGAATGAGGTGCATTAAACAGGGAAATTTCTAAAACATGCAGGGCAGTGTGCCTTGAGGACCAGGGTTGGGAAACGCTGGACTAGACGATGTTCATGACGGAAAGCATTTTGAACTACTGTGTTGCTGAAATGTGCTGTACAGATAAACTTGATTGATTGATTGATTGATTGATTGATTTTGTTCGTTAGAGATGCACCCCCACTTCTACCAGAACATCGTCCTGACCGGAGGAAACTTGCTGTTTCCTGGTTTTAGAGAGCGTTTGGAGGCGGAGCTTCGGTCCCTGGTCCCCGCCCACCTACCCGTGAACGTGTTCCTGCCTGAAAAGTAAGAGCCTTAGAGTTTTCCAGAAGGTCCGAACAGAACGATGCTTATAACGCTGAGCTGCCGTTAAAACACTAACAAATAAGGTCCAGGTGCAAAGGCCAAAACAGAAAGTAGGGTTGGTTTGGGGTTGGTTTGGGGTTGAAGTGGGGTTGAAGTGGGGTTGGATTTGGGTTGAAGTGGGGTTGAATTGGGGTGGGAGTGGGGTTGAAGTGGGGTTGAATTGAAAAAAGTGGAGGAACTCAAGAGTGTGAGTCGTGTAGCAGAGGAACCAGCTGCTGAGCGTCTTTGGTTCTGATCCAACGTCTGTGCCTGTGTTCCTGTTCTCCAGTCCCGTCTGTTATTCCTGGGAAGGAGGGAAGCTACTTGCTCACAGTCCGGACTACGACGAGATGGTGGTGATGCGGGAGGATTACGAGGAGAACGGACACATTGTCTGTGAGGAGAAGTTCGATATTTGAGTAAAAACTGATTTTCAGATCGTCTCTGATCAGCGACGGAAACCATCTTCAGATGGACTCCAAACTCATTTCACTGCGTCAGAAGAGGGGCGGAAGCACACATTCCCAAAAACGTTTTTTATTAACGGACTACTTAAAAAATACAAAATGTCTCCCGTTTTCCTTTTCCAATCCATTTTGTACCTCTATCTGCTGAGTGTATTAACCAACGATTTGGGTTACAAAGTGGCTTCACAAATCGACAGGAAGTTTGTTTTATTCAGATTTTTGGGTGTTTTCCACCTAATAGACTTCAGTAAATCTTCCTCTTTGTTGTTTTATGTATTTTTTTGGTAAACATTTCCCTTGTATTTCTTGTCCTGCATTTTCCTTACTGTCATCCAGAGTCTTCTCTGATAGTCTTGTTTTAAACTTTGGTTGCTTTTTTATGATTTATGTGAAAAATAAACAGTGACATCTCTGAATAATAAAGAAAAAAAGCAAAGTCCTGACCCTGGAATTTAAATTATCCTTTGGGGAATCTTTTAATTGTTCACTAAAGACAAAGACGTTGTAATTTCTTTTCAGAAGACGATGACGGAGGTCTGGTCATGGTTTGAAGCTCCGTTTCAGCAAAATTATGTTTAGGATTTGGTGTAACTTACAAATATGAAACCAACATTAAACATTGTTTAATTTTCCTTTATTATGAGCAGAAATCCTGAGAAAACAGAGAGTAATATGAGAAAACAACCCAAACTTTATGCATTCCTTTTAAAGGTACAAAAGTAAATGTATAAAAAGCGAAAACTGTGGCTGGTATTGGTATTTATTCAATCATTTGGAGCAAACACACCTGTAAAATATGCCATTAATGTCATTTATATCATAAAATGCTATCAAAAATAAGAGTCATTATTTTAAGTGACGCTAGATTGAGTGAAAAATCTTCATTTTTCTGCCGGCTGTGTAACGGCCGGCGGCCGGACTGCGATTCCCTCCATGTCCAGCTCCACTGAGTGAACGCTGAAATCTCCCAAACCCTGAAACACAGAAATGAGGGGATGGACCCATTTCATCTGAGCATTAGTGAATTAAAAGCAGTTTAGAGACAAATCTCAGAGGTTTAAGGTGTATTACAAACAGGGATTTTGTTTTTTAGGAGAGCCAATCGCAGCCTACAGTTGCCTAAAGAACTAAATCGTCATTTATTATCTTAGTACCACAATATCATACTTCAGCTTCTATGCAACACCAATCTGGAAAAACTTCCAGAAAACTGCACAGCTACCGAAACACAGAGTTCCTTTAAATGAAGGCTAAAATCCCACTTGTTTTTGAACCATAATGGAACATTGACCAACACAGTTTAAATTTAATAACTCCAGATTAAGTTAATTTGCATCACTTTTTAGCGCTTATTGCCTTTACTTTGTTTCACTGGTATGGTTAACTTCGGGTTTTTTTGTTTGACACTTTTATTTTGATAGGACATCTTGCACTTTGTTATCAAACGGAGTTCAAGTTGTAACAGAGTTAAAATGTATCTTAGCATACCCCTTGATAGAGGCACAAGGTTTATTTTGCAAGTTTTGTAATATTGAGCAGTAAAAATTGTGCATTTGTTTTATTGTATGCAAAAACTACCAAATATTTTTGGTTGTAAATGTTATTTTTAAGTTATGAACGTTTGTGTGTGTGTGTGTGTGTGTGGATGTGTGAGTGTGTGTGTGTGTGTGTGTACATTCAGCTCCAGCATTGAAACTGAAGGTTTATTTTCATCATCCTTCATTCATGGAGGTTGATACAATGTTGAAGTTTTGATGATGGTGATATTTTTTGTTAAATTGCAGAATCATGTTGAAACAATCAAAGCTAAAGGCGGTCCAAAGTGTGTGACCTTTGGTTGTATGGCCTTTATTTTCAGACTGTTGTGTGTATCTGCAGACGTCTCACCGGCGTGTTCCTGAGGGTCTTTAGAACCGCCTCCTGCTGTCGGGGCTCCCGGGTCAGCAGGTACAGGAAGCCGCCGCCTCCGGCTCCTGCCAGGCTCTGACCCAGAACCAAAGGCCTCAGAGCCTCCATCATGGTTCTGACGGAGGCCGGCTCGCATCCTGGAGCCATCAGCTTCTTCTGCTGCCAGGAGCGGTCCAAACACCGACCCAAACGGGACAGAGAACCTGGGAGGGAAGCATTTACAACAAGGCTGAGTCATTTAATGGCTTGGTTTAGTTTATTGCCTTTGGACCTAAAGAGAATCGATCTGGCCTGGACCTTCAGAGCCACATAAAGACAATAACGAAGTCGGCCTTCTATCACCTGGAGAACATCTCCAGGATTAAAGGACTTATGTCCCAATGAGATCTAGAGAAACTCATCCATGCGTTTATCTTTAGTCGCACTGATTACTGCAACAGCGTCTTCACAGGTCTGACTAAAAAAACCAATCAGATCCAGAAGCTGCTGCTGGAGTTCTGACTAAAACCAGGAAGTTGGAGCACATCACCCGGTTCTACAGTCCTTCCACTGGCTCCCTGCAGCTCAGAGAAAAGACTTTAAAATACTGTTAGTTTATAAATCACTGAACGTATCAACACCACAACACGATCTGCTGTTGTCATAGCAACCTTCAACACCCCTCAGGTTCTGGTTCTGGTTCTGGTCTGCTCTGGATCCAGAACCAGAACCAAACATGGAGAATCGGCATTCAGCTTCTATGCACCACAATCTGGAACAAACTTCCAGAAACACTGAGTTCCTTTAAATTAGACTAAAAACCTGCCTCTTCAGAGTAGCTTTTGAATCATAATCAATGAAACATTAATCAATAAACTGATATTTAGCAACAAAAAAATGTAATGCTTCAATTGTTGACCGTGGTTTCTTCTATGACTTTGTATGTTTGGGTTTTTATAAAGTAAATCACTTTGTAATGATTTACTTCAGAACCAATCAAGTTTATACAAATACACTTGATTGATTGACTGACTGATCGAGATGAATGTGTACTTGACTACATATTTCCTGAAATTCACCTTCTGAACAGGATTTAGCACATTCCTCAGAGTTGGACACCAGCTGCTGGGCGTTCTCCACCATCGCCGGAAGACGGCTGTACCAGCTGCGGACCACATCCTGTACAAAACAAACACACACAGCGAGCGGCACTTTGAAGCAGACTGGACCCAAACAGTCCAGTCTGCCGTAAAGCTGCAGCTATATGCAGCTATGTGCCAGCTTTTGAATTGAAATATTGCTTATTTTGTCATTATATGATTAAAAAGTTATTAAGTAGTTACAGGCCCTGCCATTAAAGCCACATTAAAGCCATGTGTGTATATTTTATAGGAAATACAGAGATATATAGAGATAAATCTTTTCAGTTATTTATCTTATATTACACTGCAATGACAGTCACAGTTTTAACAAATACGTAAAAAACACATTTATTAGAAAAGTTACATCTTGCAGTTTTCACTCAATACATTTTTCAGTTGAGTCCCAAAACTATTAAAGAGAAGTTAAACATTTTCCCAGACGAAACAAACACACACAGCAGCTCTCACCCAGACTTTAAACGTTGCTAATGTTGTTTTCTCAAAGTTAAAAGTGAGAGGAGTGAAACATCTTCTCATAGTGGGATCTATGAGGGGAGTAGCTGACCTGCAGCAGGTTTCGAGCCAGACGCGTCTTTCCGGTGTAAACCAGCAGGAGGTGCTGCTCCAGAGACACCAGGAACTCCTGAGGAGGACTCAGACGCTCCACCTCCACCTGGAGGGGCAGAGACGCTCTGGAACGACCCACCTTGACTCCGCCCACCAGACCGCCCACCTGGTCCTGCCAGCCGCCACCTGGTGGAGCAGCAGGAAGTGATTAGGGAGATGCAGAGGAAGAGGAAGGAGATCAGAGCGGAGGTAGACGGGGACCTGTGGTGAGAATCTGCTCCAGGTACAGGACCGCATGGATCAGGGAGTCGGTGTCATACGTTCGGCCTGTACACCTGTAGACCGCTGCCAACAGCGCCCCCGCCAGGATGCTGCTGGTACCTGCAAGAATTGACACCATTTCATCACCTGCAGATTTACCAAAGCATTAAAGGGGCCCTATTATGGTAAATTCACATTTTGGGTATATTTTTGCTTCTATTCAGGTCTCAACTGCTGCTAAAAATAGACCAAGCACTTAAAAACTAAAAATAACTAAATGAACAGCCATTTTTTGGTAATTAAAGTTTGTTGGCGTCTGAACAATGAGCAGTTTCATTTCATGTTTTTCTAAAACATGAAATGTTTTAGTCAGAGGCGTCTTCTAATTCACTGTAATACAGACTGCTACAGGAGATATTTCCTTCCCACAGCCATCATTATCTACAATAACTAACTTTTGAATTAATATGAATTACAACTACATTTAATTTCTCTTTGGGATCAATAAAGTATTTCTGAATTTGAATTGATCATGAATTAAAAAAACCTCCTGCTCTTAAGTCACATTCGAGGGGCACTGGGTTGTTACCTAGCAACCCAATCTGAACTCCAGCACATTTGGTCAGCTGGTTTTACAATGGCTGCTGGAAAAGGCGAGTGTTTTGATGATGACTTATGATCCAGAAACCACTTGTTCCATTCTTGTCGTTTGTACTTTAGGCTCCACTTCTGCTTTTCAAAGATGTACAGTTGTATAATTACGCATCTGTTTGCCGCCATTTTGCGAATGTATATGTTGAGTCGAGGGGTGTGACCAGCAGCAGCTTATTTGGATTTAAAGTGACAGAGGCCCTAAAACGGCTCATTCTGAAAAGAGCTCAAAATAGGCAGAGCTAAAATCTCATTAGTCACAAAGAATGACTTTGTGAAAAAACGTAATGAAAATGTTTCTTATAGACCACAGACCTTCCTGTCCAAGAAAGCATAACTGGTCACCTCAGGTTTTATGCGGCAGCTGCTCTGCCAGACGTGTTTTAGCATTGCTCACCCAGACCGGATCCGGTCGGCAGCTCCGACCAGCTGTGCAGCTCCACCCCTCCACCCCAGCTCTGCATCAGCTGCTGCCCCAGAGGATGCTGGGAGGACAGAGACACCAGACCACTGCACACACAGACTGCCTTCAGCAGAGCTCCTGCAGCACAAACACACCAACAGTGAGTATTCAGTGGCATTAAGATGTCTTAAATATGTTAATCAAAGGTCTTAAATTTTAAGAACACCAGTTTCTCTCGTATATTTTATGTACCGTAGTTTGTTCTTCTCGTGGGATTTTTCTGTCAGGCTAACTAGCACTCCAGGTAGTTGAGGCTACCGCTAACTAGCTGCTAACATATTCTTGCTTGCTAGCAGAGTTGGGTAATAACTAGTGTCGAGAAAAGTCGAGCTCATCCCACTTCCCCATGCTGGAGATTTTAGTTTAATAATAACAATAAATAAAG